TGTTTTAATTTTCCACATCTAGAATCTAGTTATTAGAGGGTCAAATTCTTCTCTCCCACCAGTGCCACAGGGAAAGCTGGAAGGAGTAGCAGGGAAAGCAGCAGCTGGAGGGCAGGCAGCCTGCCCCATACCCCTTGTCTCCCACTTGCTATGTGTCCCCCCCCCCCATGCCTGGCCCCTTGCTTCCTGATTCCTCCCCCCTCCACCCTTTCACATTTGCAGCTTTTCTATTTCTCTGCTGGGGGGTATGGAGTACTTGGCCAGGCCAGGCAGTAGTGGTGGCTCTGGCTCCAGCTACAGCTGGGGTCAGGTCCAGAGCCAAAGCAGCTCCCCCCACTACTCCATGCACCTCTTCCCTGCACTTCACTCTTCTCTGTGCATCTCTTTTCCTCCCTGCACCATGCACCCCTTCCCCATGCTCCCTTCCCTCTTGCACTCCCCTTCCCCCATGCACTTTCCTTGTGCTCCACGTCCCTTGTCCTTCACTCTGCACATCCCTCCCCATGTTCACCCACCACCTTTTCCTCCATGAGCCCCCCTATACTGCCTGTCCCCTTCCCCACATCCCTTCCTTGAGCTCTCCTCACTACATGCTCCCCTTCACCTCTGCCCTTCCCCCACGCTCCTTCCCCCATGCCCTTTTCCTGCAGTCCCTCTCACTCCACAGGTCACTTTCCCTGCTGCTCTTTTCCCTGTGCTCCCCCCACCTCCCACACTGTGCGCCCCTTCCCCATGCTCCCCTCTGCACTACACACCTCACCTCTTCCTCTGAACTGCACACCACATTCCCTCTGCTCCCCCCACACCATGCGTCACTTCCCCTGCACGCCCCCTGCTCCCCCTACCTGCTACATGACCCAACCTTACCACATCCAAAGCCACAGCAGCTGCTTGCCTGGCCTGTACTCAAATCTAAGATAAGGGGGTCCTCCCCAACCTCATCTTAGATCCAAGTAAGTACAATAATTAACAGTATACTAGCAACTCCACACTAGTTACCTTGCACAGAATGTCTTTCTGCAACTAAATCACTTCAATTTCTAGGATTATTTACCCCAAGAGCAAATTCTGAGCAGCTAGTACTTTGCAAATTGACACCCTAGAGTACTACACACTAACTTCCTTATGTAATTAAATTTTCAGTCTCCTATAGCTGGGCTTCTCATTCAGCTGAGCCCACCTCAGGCTCCTTGCCTTAGTTTCTTTGGACAGTTAAAGTTTCCCCCCATCCCCTCAGCACCTTACTCTAGTCTTCTTGCCCAGCCAGTCCCACTCTTCTCCTCTTTCCAGCTCCCAATTCAATCTCATCCTTTAATCAATGGATAAGTATCTGGAGGATCAGAGCCAAAAGGATTAATTTCTCACAAAAGCAGATTTTGGATTTAGGGCCTTGTCTCTATAATATTTCTGTGTGAAAAGATTTCCAAACCTGACATCCACAGTTTTATTACTTTCATGGTCAAACACTTCAAAAGCTTCTGTAATCTTTTTCTGAATATCTGCTATTGCAGCCTCTGAAAAAAAGGGAAAAAAAGATTCAATAAAATAATTTTATTTTAAATTTAAGTACCAACCAAAAGAAAGACTAAAATGCAGTCTCCACCCTGAAATGAAGCAATTAATTTTGAGCTTCCCAATTTCCCACAAACTTTTGGGGGAAACAATTTATTCAGTTGTCTTCCTCTCTACTATATTAATCTTGGTTTGAAAACCCCCTTTTGGGGAACACAAAGATGAGAGAAAATATCTTCCCTTTTACTTTCTTCCTCTGTTCAAAAGGCCCCAGACAGCAACAATCTCCCTATCATCCTTCCCCCTGCTCCCCACACTTGCTAGGGCAGTGGTGTAGCACAGGTGCCATGGGCAGCCTCTACGTGTGGCATGCAGCATATTGAAGAGAGGACAGGCAGTACAGCCACAGATAGTACACAGAGCAGAAAAGCAAAGCAGCCAGCCAGGTAGGGAGTACAGGACAGAGAACAGAAAGAGCAGCAGATCAGGCAAGGGAAAGGGATTGGAGTCGCACCAGCAAAGGTGTGCGGCTTAATTTATGGCACATCTGCCAAACAGGTTACCCGCCACCATGCTAGGGGATGGGTGTACCACTCTTCAGAGTTTCCTTTATGTTGCCATAAATCAACGAAGCAAAGCGCTATCAGATTACAGCCTTTGAAGCAACTCCCAACCACTCCTGGCCTGGGAGAAGTGGTTCATACTTTGTTCAACCCAATATTCTCTACACTAGGATCCAGAATGATCTGGATAGACTGGAGAAATGGTCCACAATCAATCAGATGAGATTCAACGAGAACAAGTGCAAAGTCCTGCAAAGAAAGACCTGGGGGGTTACAGTAGACCATATGCTGAATACAAGTCAACAGTGTGCTCCTGTTGCAAAAATAGCCAACAGCATACTGAGTTGTATTTACAAAAGTGTCTCTTGCAAATTAAGGGAAGTGATTCTTCTACTCTATTCAGGCCTCACCTGGAGTACTCCGTCTACTTTTGGGACATGGATATATTGGAAAGAATCCAGCTTGGAGCAACAATCAGCAAATGATTGGAGGCTCAGGAAGCAAGATTTACGAGAAAAGGCTGAATGAACTAGTCATTTAAACTGGAGAAAAGAAGATGGAGGAGGGATTTGATAACACTGTCAAATCCCTAAAGGGTGATTGCAGAGAGGATGAAGATGAGCTTTTCTCTGTGACTGACGGGGACAGGACTAGGAGCAATGGCCTCAAGCCACACCAGGGGAAATTTAGTTTGGATATTAGGAGGAACTTTCTGACTATGAGGATGATCAGACATTGGAACAGGCCACTGAGGGAAATTGTGGAATCTCTATTCTTGGAAGTTTTTCAAGAGCAGGTTAGATAGACACTTGGCTGAGATGGTTTAGTCAGGGATGATCCTGCCTTGAGCAGGGGGCTGGACTAGATGACCTTCTGAGGCTCCTTCTAGTCCTACTTCCCTATGATTCTAGACCAACTCTTCCTGTTGCCTTCCTTCTTCCTCCTTCCTTTGGTCACTTTCTTTTTTGTTTCATTTGTTCATCTATGACTTCCTTCTATAGTTGTCTCCCTGTTTTGCTGTCCTCATCTAGTTTTTTTCTTCCTGAATCTACTTGGAGTTGAAATTTGTTTTCTGTTTCTCCCACTTTGAACATCTGGCCTTCCTTTAGAACTTCTCAGTTCCTATAGTGGGGCTACTATGGGGCTGTGCAAAGGTAATATAATGTACTTACTTGTGTGCAATAATGATTTAGATATAGCTTACTTGTCTTATTCTTCTCCCTGACATTTCTCACATAGTCACTTATACATGTTCAATGTGAATGTAAAAAGTGTAAGAGTGGAGGATTCTTATTTGATAGTAGTAAAAGCTTTGTTTTCTGGCACCCATGGGGAATGGGGGGTGCAGGATAACAAAATATGATGGTTAATTGAGGGGCCCGAACAGGCGTCTTTGCACCCTCCTGCCACATTGCCAACCCTTCCGTGGGCCCCGCAGGCCCTGAGAGACAGGGAGGCAGGCCCCGTACAGCCTGCTATGCCCCAGGCTGTGCATGCCTGGCAGCACAGGCTGCTTTGCCTAGGGGCTCGGAGAAACCAGAAGTGCCACGGTGGGCACTTCCGGTTTCACTTTACCTTACAAGCCAGTGTGCTGGTTAATAGAACATGCCGACTTGTAAGGTGCCAGTTAACAGAGCTTTTACTGTGTTTATAAACACTCTGAACACAAGTTGAAACAACTGTGCAAGTTTGTGAAAACCTTTCTCCAATGCCTTTTTTCCCCCTGTAACAGAATTGTCTTATTGCTAACTTGTTTTCCTTCCTTGTCAGTACATTTTAGGGTTTCCCCCCAAAAAGCAGTGTATAGACTGGCATGCATCTCTAAAGAACTTACTGGCTTGATCCAGAGCACATGTACTTAATGGAAAGACTCTTATTCCTGATGATAGGTTTTGCATATTATTTTGAATTTGCTGTTTTAAGCCTTATCTATACTGCAAAAATTACCATGACTGAATTGGTGTGTCTAGAATAGGTAAGCTGAAACCAAAACTGAACAGCTTACCTTCAAGTAAATGCAAATACAAACCTTTGAAAAACTGTAGCACCCTTCGAAGAACTGTGGTGTGATGATATTAAATTTATTAATAGTTATGAAGCACTCAGTACATTCATCAGCATCACAGAGGCACCCTTTGAAGAACTGTGGTTAAAACCTAAGTGGACCTAATTGTAAGTGGGCTGAAGCTCAACCTATTGAAATTTGAAATTAATGGGAGCCCTTCCAATGATTTTGATGGGCCTTGAATCAGAACCCTACAGAGCATCTGCAATTCACAATGAACTAAATAGACACTTAGCTGTTCCTAACATCATGCCTTTAAATTCTAAACTTCTCCTTGTGTTAGAAGCAATGCTTCAGAAACATGGGCGGTTGGTGCCTCCTGAGTTTGTGGGGGGGCACCTGCAGAAGTTGGCAGTGGTGGGGGCAGCAGGGACAGGGCTGGTGAGCACCCGAGAAACTGGCAGTGGTGTTGGTGGCAGGGACGGGGCTGGTGAGCACCCGCAGAAGCCACCGCTGGCATTGGGGACAGGGCTGGCAAGCACCTGCAGAAGCTGCCAGCAGTGTCAGCAGTGGGGACGGCCCTGTCAGGGAGGCACGTGCCTCCCCATGCCCCCCTACCTATGTCTATGCTTCAGAAATGGGGAATATTCAAACAATTCTTCTAACACCTTAACAGCATCTGGCAAAGTGGGCTGTAGCCTATGAAAATTCATGCATCTCTGAGAAAGTCTATAAGGGTACTTTTACATGTGCTTCTGGGGTGAGGGACTTTTTAATTAGAGTAGCTCTGAGAGCTGCTCTACAGCTGCAGAGCAAAGCACCAGGCTTCGTGCAGCTCAAGGGCTCTGCAGGAAACCCGTGGCAGCAGCCAGGGAAGGCAGGCTCCACCCAAGAAAAGTGGCGAGCCTGATCTTTTTTTCCCCCTGGAGCCAGCCTGCCTGCCTGAGGTGCGTGGAGGCCTGGTGCTTCCCTCCATGGCTGTGGGGCCCCCTGGGACAGCCTGAGCCAGGTGCCTGTGGGCAGGTGCCACCTGGGGCGGGGGACGCTGCCGCTGCAGCTGCCACGAAGGGAAGCACCAGCTGCACCCCCGCAGCCCAGGGACTGCTCCACCTGCCGGCAACTTGCTCTCCCCTCCCCGTCACTGGAGAGGCAGGTAAGTTCAGGTGTGTGCACGACACCGGGGGTTTAAAGGGCTGCTGGAGCACAGCAATTGCCACACTTCAGCAGACTTGACTAATTAAGTCTGCTCCAACATGCTGGAATTCCAGCACGTCGGAGCAGCCTCTATGCTTGTGGCACTCTAAGGTGCCATGCTGCCGTACCTTCTGCCTACCTCAGACTAAGACAGCTGACCAGCTTGCTCTACCTTTATAAATGTTATATCAGAATCTTAGTATCTTTGTAGACTAGCTAATGATTGTATTCCTGGTTCAACAGGTGACCTTTCTTCAAGAACTCAAGTAATTGAGGGTGATTAATGTAAATTCCTAGTGCTGAAACAATGTATGTATCCAGCCTTTTGGAGTTTCATCATGGGGAGAAACAGCACATGCTGGTTTGACCTGAGTCAAGAAGCCTGAGAGACAAAGTGCCTGAAACTGAATAAAAAATGACCGCCTGGACCCAGGAAAAAGGCTGATCACAGTCTACTGACTGAAGTTGTGACCAAAGGGGATAGGACCTGGGGAGTGTATGAAGAACTTTAAGCCTGTCAGAGTCTACATGCAGAAGATGGCTAACTGTTTGATAAACTGGAAATACACGTAAACTGTTTATTGTTTTATTGTCTGCTTTTTCCTGTAACGCTTGTTCTAACAAACAGTACTTTGCTTTATGAAACTAGTTACTGGTTAACTCTGTTATCATCCCCAGAGAGAAAAAAGTTCCAAGTGCTGAACTAAGCTTAGCTAATTAAAGTAAATCACAGAAGTCTCCTGGGTAGATTCCTAATTTGGAAGAATATGTTCCTGCTCCAAGAAATGTGACAGGCAGAGGCCTGAGACCTATACAGCATGCCCTCAAGGAGGCAGTAAACTCAAGGAGGCGGCAAATGGTAGACCCCCTAGTCTACTGAAATCTTTCACCTCATGGAGGATTCTGACTACAAGTAAATGAAGAGAGGCATGAACTAGTCCTCCCTAAGTTCTTTCTAAAAGGACGTGCATATATAATAGCTACCCAATAAATACACCAGGCTTTATAAATCGGAACACGTATAGCTCATAAGCAAGAGAATTTGCAAACTGGAAAGAGGCAGCGTATAAAATTAGCTGGGTTGTATTTTTTTGTTTTGTTTTGAAGAAAAGTAGCTTGAATAGAAACTGAAATCTGTTGGACCCAATCCCAATGCAAACAACTGCTTATTCCCAGCAATGCGTACTATTTCAGTTATCATAGTATTTTTTATTTTCTCAGATTCAATTATTTTTACATT